TTATGATTGATTTATCCAGTTCTAAGGTAAAATAAAAGGTAATGATCTCTACTTACTACAGGTTCACGTCGTGTCTCCAGAGCAGCGCCACAGTGCATTGCCTCCCCGCAGTGCCAACAGTCCAATCAGACTGATACGCTTTCCCTCAGCACCTCCGCCTGCTCCACTCCCATGGTTTACTCCATTTCTCCCAACCAGGGCTCATACCACAAAGCGATCCAGATCAAGGGCAAAAGCTTCAGCGACGTGGCCTGTGCTAACGAGGTTAGCAGAACTTTTTAAGACTGCATCATTGAATGAATTAAATGTAAAATATCTTCTTTGGTCAGTGATTGTCTTGCATATCCCTTCTTAAAGACCCATGTTATACATCAAAATACAACATTGCTACATAACTTCGTTTTAGGATGCCGGAGAGAATATTCAGTATGACGTAAATGTTTGATATATAATGTAGGTCAATAAAAAAACAACAGTACAGGCTGTGGCGCTCCCAGAATCTTTTGAATGGCCTGATTAAATTATTCAGCCTTTATTTAATAAAATGTCTGGAACATTAGAGTGGCAGTTCTATTCAGTCTACTTTAACCAGTCATTTCCATGGGATATTTTGTGCTATCCAGAGACAGACTGGATCAAGCATTCTGAGGAAAAGAAACTACAATTAAATTAAATGATTTGTTGATCTGAGTGTGATTTGACAGTTGAGATCTAAAAGTTGAGAACTAAAACTAATGGATAAACAGTAGAAACAGACAGCCATGCATGTGACTTAAAAAGATAAACAGTGGTCAAAAAATGGAAATAAATTGCTAGCTAATAAATTCTTACCTAATAGGCTGTTTAGAAAAGCATGCAGTTGACATTGTTAGCTAAGTGTACCAATAAAACATAGACTGTACATAAAAAATGGACTTGGCCACTGTGACTTCACATATTGCTTGGGATACTGAGTGTTTTCACCCAGCCCGTTCTCACCCCCGCAGCATAATATACAGACAATTTGTCAAGTCCCGAGGTGTTCCTGAGGAACACGAAGCTACGCGCCGGGTTACGGATGAAATCCAGTAGAATGACGCTCCCGCGGTAATACATGTCCCAGCCATGTATTCCAGCCCTAACCCTAACCTTAACCAGCACTTTAATGACGTTAGATAGTGTTTTCCAAAGCGATTTAAGTAAAACAAATGTACATGTGTAGATTCATTCCAACGGTTCTCATGTTTCCTCATTTTTCCAATCTCGTAATATAGGAACGTGTTGGGCACCCGGAAGTGTAATATATCGATGATTTGTAATTGATATTTAGCATAAAATGTTACATTTTGGGAGTGAGAGCGTGTTGTTTCACCATTGTCGTGTGCAGAAAAAGCCATTAGTTAATGAGTTTGCCCAGGTTTCTGATGCAAACGAAAAACATTGAACTTCAATCAGCAACTCATCAGGGAAGTATTGGGGGGATTAGACTTCTATATATCCAAAAGTCATTTTGCAACCAGAGCTCTCGCCCCAACCCCTCTCGACACCATAAGATAGAATACAGACACAAGACACTTAAGCATTTGCACAAATAACATTGCTTCATTAAAGCATGCTGGAAAGCTCGGTAGTTCGCTAAGATTTTGAAGAAAGTAGTAATTAAAAACTCCTTTGTCCCACACGCCATCAAACTGTTTAACTCCTCTCTGGAGGGGAGAGGGAGGGGAAAAAAAAGTTCTATCTTATCTTATCTTATCTTATCTTATCTTATCTTATCTTATCTTATCTTATCTTATCTTATCTTATCTTATCTTATCTTATCTTATCTTAATTAAAGATTAAACAAATGAACACTAACATTAGCTAATTGTATATTAAAAACAGTAGTGGTTTAAATGAAGTTGTAAGGATTTTGTGTCTGTAAGACCTTAATGCAATGTACTTAAATTAATAAAACACTTGTGTCACTATAATGAAAGCATTCAAGCACACATGCTTAGTCCTAAGCTTCAATTAACACATAGCTAATTTCATTGTACTATTTAGAAAAGTCATTTTAATCCTAAATCTCAGTTCTTTGACCAATAAATGTTTTGTCATTAACTGAAGCTAGACTCGATTAGCCTTGATATAACTCTTGTTCAGACTTGTTACCCACAGTGGTGTGCTCTGTGTGCTGCAGGTGATGGTGGGAGATCAACCCTGTCAGGTGATCAACAGCTCCCAATCTGAGATTAACTGCCAGCTCAGTCCCAGCAGTGAACTTCCCATCGGCCTTGCTCTCCCTGTGGCCGTCAGAGTCAACAACCTAGGCAGCGCCGTCATCGCTGTGCCAAATGAGCTTGAGCGTCGCTTTGTGGTTCTCCCAGTGGTTGACTCAGTCTCGCCTCCTATTGGAAGCCCCACTGGCCACACTAGGCTCCTCATCCGCGGTTCTGGCTTCTCAGAGGGACTCGTAATTGTAGCCAGCGAGCTCTGTCGCATCCAGTCTCTTAATTACACTTCGATCATCTGCGACACGGCGCCTTCTCAGCCACACATCGGTGATGTCATCTTTTACATGGGCCAAATCCAAAGCGCCTGCCACTCAAACTGCTCCTTCCGCTACTCCTCGTCCGTCACTCCCACAGTTACCGGCATTTCCCCGGACAGCATTGATGATGTCACTACTGTGACCATCTCTGGCTCAGGGTTTGGCAGCAGCGTGGATGATGTGGCAGCTTTTGCTGGGTTGACAGAGCTAGAAGTAACCGCTGTGACCGACGGCAACATCAGCGCAAGAGTCAGCGCTCTGCCTGCAGGTGACCACTCAGTCAAAGTGATTGTGAGAAGCAAAGGCCTCGCTTCTGGTCAGGTCACCCTGAGCAGTAAGGCACAAGCAACCCTGAACCCCAACGTGGGCAGCCTGGCGGGAGGAACGCCACTTATCTTCACAGGAAATGGCTTCGCTCGAGGGAACACAAGCGTGATGGTCGGTAGGAAACCCTGCAAGATTCAGGAGGTGACGCCGGGTCGTCTTATCTGCCTGACGCCTCCTAACACTGTGGGGCTGGTGACCGTCATTTTGCAGGTCTTCTCTGTGCAGTATCCTCCTCTCAGCTTCACCTACTCCACCGCCCACACTCCTGTCATCAGCTCCATCAGCCCCACCACAGGTAACTATGATGACAGAAAGATAACAAGCAGAGGCTAATGCAGTTTCTGCAGTCTGTTTAAAGAACGCTGACAGTATTTTTGCAAGATGATTCAGTGAAATTAAGCAAAACAGAAGAACACAGAAAAAAGTCACTGAAATTTGGAAATTGGTTCAGTCTCATTTACCTTAATTTATCATTATTATTACTGAACAGATAAAATATTATTCCAGCTCATGACATTTACAGATTTATGTGTCATTCAGTACCGTAATATATGTATAAAGCAACAAGTCATATCTCAGATTCTTTATTTATACCGTTTCTTCATCTCCTCTGTTTATTTCCTGCAGGACCGAGCGGGTCCGTCATCACCCTGACAGGTTCAGGCTTCGGCAATGACTCTCAGCTCATCACCATCACCATAAATGGCGTCCCTTGCAATGTTTCCACGGTCTCCGACACACAGGTCCAGTTCGCCGCAGGAAACAATCCAGGGGCGACATACCCAGTCATGCTGCATCACCAGGTCAAAGGTTTTGCCCAGTCAGGAGTCGTGTTCACGTATGAACTGACGCTCAGCAGTGTGCAGCCCAGTGAAGGTAAGCAATATTGAAACTCTCTGTTTATCTGCATTTTATTAAATCATGCTTACTGAGGGAAAGAAAAACAAGAAAACACAGACAGACCTAATCGTTAAATAAAAAAAATAAAACCAGATCTTTTTTTTTCTGTAGATGCATAAATCCATATTTACTGGGGCTACTTAATTTGAAGAATATCTAACATTCCTCTTAAACTTTTTTTGTATTGAATATAAAGCAATAAAGTAAACAGAATTAAGAAAACAGAACAAATGATGTCTCCAGGGAGAAAACCTGCTGTCGGGAATAACAATGTTGGATGCATTCAGAATTTTTGTGAGAGTCGCATCTGTCTGACGGTATAGAGTTAATTACATAAAAAAGGAAGAAATAATTATATTTTTCTGATAATTTTTATTATTTTTAAGTTGTTTATAAAAAGGAATCAAATAAAAGAAGAACTGATCATTTAAAAATCTTGTCTCAAAATACTTCACAGTGAAATAAACTGTGCAGCTTTTGTCTTTTTCTTTTATTCTTTCGTTTCTTTTGATCCTCTAATCAGTTTTTTATTAGCCTACTAAATTAGTTGTTTCACTTTAATCTGCCGTTCAGGTAGTTTCGGTGGCAGTGCGCTGCTGTCCATCCAGGGCTCTGGGTTTGATCCACTCAACTCCACTGTGCGGATCTGTGGGGAGGAATGCCAGGTTCACAGAGAAACATCCACATCCACCCATCTGTACTGCCAGTCTCCACCTCACAACAGTAAGTTTTACCTAAAGCAGATGATCATGCAGATGAAAAAAATCTCAATCACTAATATCACTAATAAAATGTGAGTTTTGAAAATGTGCATGCTGTGAAATGCAGCCATGGCATGCACAGCGATTGATTTCTAGGGTTATAAACGTTGCTATTATTACTGCTAAGTAATGCACTGCAGTGTATTTTAAACAACTTTCCATTAGTTGGAAAGAAGACACATTACCCCGACAGCACAGTAGTGTATCACACTCTGTGGCTAGTGTTAGGCATTATGTAGCAGAGATGTGGGTTTGCACATTGGGAAGAGGTCATTTCTACGTCGCATGGTGCTGCTTTGCCCATGTTCCACCTCTCTGTGAGCTGCATAGAGAGGGATTCATTAGCTTTAATGTAGCTTTCTCATCTAGAACACATTGGGGGTGACGCTTAACTCTCCTTAACCGATGAGGGATCTGGGCTAGCCTGTGAATCCTTGCTGGATGCGTGCCCTGGTCACAATTTAAACTCTGGTCTGTTGCTCCAAAAATAAAAATGAACATGATTTTTACAGGAAACTGAACCTACAAGAGTTTGATGGTATCCTGCTTCACAAAAAATTAAACTAAGATTGTTACAAATTAGAGATTGTGCAGTGTGAAAAGTCTGAGCAGCACTGTTACATTACCAAACACAAAGTTCACAACTCCTTCACTTCTAAAATCCAGATCTACAGCTTTAATAATATTAATAGCTGCTAAATGCAAACTAGTTAAAAAATATGTCCGTGACAAGCAAGATTTAATTTATTTTACCTTTTAAAGTACCATATGTGTTTTTAGGGACAAAAAAAATATTTATTATCACATCAGTAGCTGGTTTAAGACACCAACTGAATTCCCTAAAGGAGACAGACTGTGCTTACGAGGAATGCTGTCAGCCTTGTCACAGGGCAGAAAACGGTCACATTTGATAAGAAGATAACTTGATATGGATGATGAGAAGATTTTGTTGTTGCGTGATTTGTCTGTCTGTGTGTGTGACTCCGTGTGTGTCCTGTATCCTTGAAGGCACTCAGTCAGAGGTCAGCTGCGTTGTAGCCGTCATTAACCCACATGATGCGGTCAACGTGTCAAACGGCTTCACCTATAGATCTCAGCTGACTCCAGTGATCACTCAGGTTTCTCCTCGCAGAGGCGGCACTGCTGGAGGCACCCGACTCACAGTCACCGGCTCTGGTTTCAGGTACAGCAAAGGAAGAAAACATTTCACTCAATTGAGAGTGCATGGATCGCTGATCAAGAATAAGTGCTCAGCCGACAAAAGATATCTGTTTTTGCTTTCACTTTCTCTGCTTGGGAACACGGGGATTACAATCCTGACTAATAGATTACAAATACTGCTTTTTGTTGAGCATGTTTGACACATAATGAACTGTATTAGTGTCTGCACACATATTCATTACCACTAAGGGCCATAATTTTGTTTTTTTACACAGTCATCTGCCATCAGCTCTTTTTAAACAATGTAAAACTCACAAAAACGAGGTGCTGCCCCTCGGCTGGCTTCCAGAAGTTTCCCATTTGGATAACTGGGCAAACTGGGAGTTGATCTTAAAGAAAGATTACTGAGGAGATCACTGAATAAAAAGAGAGTTACAAACCCATAATAGGTTTTCTTCAGTCTGTCTCTCTTGCTTGCGTTCACTCCCCCTCCCATATTACAGCACTGACATTAACGAGATCAACGTGACGATCGCAGAGTCCGTGTGTGACGTGCAGTCCGCCAACAGCACGCACATCATCTGCGTGACCAGCGCTCAGGGGCAATCTCAGGAAACCAAAGTCAGAGTCAGCATCGGAAACCAAGGCATCGCCAAGATGGTGAGGTTGATTTGTTTGTGTTTAGTAAAGTTACGCTGCTTCAAAGGACGGAAACAGTGCTGTCTGACTGATTTTATTGTTTCTGATTACATATTTTCATCCAGTGTTTTTTGTTGTTCTTTAGGACAACGCAGATTTCTTTTACATTGACGTGTGGTCGTCCAAGTTCACGTGGGGAGGTCTGTCTCCACCAGAGGAGGGCACATTCGCTGTTATTACTAAAGGCCAGACCATCCTGCTGGACACCAACACACCTGTGCTCAAAATGCTGCTTATTCAAGGTGCAAAAATTACTTCTTAGTGTGTGTTTTTACATTCAGACATTGTGTAAAAAGTAAATTATGTTGGATGCAGTGTTTGTGAAAATGCTAAATTTGGAGAACTGTTTCAGAATAAGGTAAAATATTTTTTTTTTAAATTGAACGAAATTCAAACTGTCAGAGAAACTCGAGTTCTTTTTGCGTTCAGGAGGGACGTTAGTGTTCGATGAAGCCGACATCGAGCTGCAGGCTGAAAACATCCTGATCACCGACGGCGGTCGGCTCCAGATCGGACAGGAGGGAGCGCCGTTCCAACACAAAGCCATCATCACGCTCCACGGTCAACTGCGTTCACCTGAACTTCCTGTTTATGGAGCCAAGACGCTGGCTGTCAGAGAGGGCGTGTTGGACCTCCATGGTATGCACACACAAATTTATATTCATAAACACACATAAGGTATAGATCAGGTATAAATCAAGTTCCACATCCTAATTTGTAGTTCTTACATTTTTTTTTTTAGGATCTTTTTTAAGATTGTTCTGTTTAAATGCAACAAAACACTCATTATGAGTTAATACATATGTTACATTTTGTTTGTAATTCCACAGATTTTGTCACTCATTAAAATGAATAACCAAGTTGCATTTTAATATTGTTGTTTTCCTACATTTTTCTGAAGTAAATATTGAAAAAAATACTTCTTTCACCCTTGAGGTGCACGATCGTATCATGTAGAGTCAGAAACAGAAGGCGTTCAGCAACAGAAACCTCAAATAGCTTTGACCCAATTATTTCAAAAACACGCATTGCATGTCATGTAATAATATCATGTAATAAATAGTAAGCTGACAGCATTTTTAGGTCTTGGTGCTCAAGGTGATTATTGTCACCTCATCTGTTTCTAAGGAACCAGGAGAATAATCAAACAATAAAGTGGACCAGTTTTGTAATAGTTGCTCAAGTTTAAAATGACCTTTTTTATAAAATCAGGTATTCCTGTGCCGATCCCCTGGACCCACTTGGCCCAAACAGCAAACAGTGGCTCAAAAACATTGAACCTGATGAAGGCGGTGACGTGGAAAGTAGGAGATGAGATCGTTATTGCCACCACTGGACACAGGTACAGCTGAGGACTGATTCATAAAAGCATAAATCCAAGTTATTCATCTGAGCTATAAAGCCAAAACATGGGAACTACATGCATTTAATTGAAATGTTTAATTTACTGTGAAAAGAAATGGACAACAAAATGTAAAATTAAAGTGATTAGCAGCTGATATTATCTCAAGCCAAATTTTCAACTTTTTAAAAATTTGTGTTAATAATCCTAAAATTATTTTTACAATTAAAAAAAGATCCAGTTGGAAAGAAAACTGGACTTTAATATACTTGTCTATTAAATTGGTCAAATATTTTAAATAAATGTGCTCATTTAGTTACCTAAAGATGTGGAATGTGGAGAAAAATGTGCAACATAACAGTATCCTAAATAAATTGCAGCAATTAGCATTTTTGTTGCAGGATGCTAGTTAGCAGCTAATTGAATTAACATCTCTAGTTCCCTATATTTAAAAAACAGAACATGTTGTTCACTTTATTACTGTAATAATGAATATGTGAAATAAGATTATGTAGTAAGCAAAGAACAGAATAAACTAGCCCTGCTGAAAGCTCAATCTTATGGTTTAGCTGAGTAGCAGTAGCTACCGCCGCTCCGATTCTCTGGTTTTGCTAACCTGGATAGCGGGGAAATGTGTGCCAGGAACTGCTGACAATCAAATGAATGGAGGGTTAAAGATTACAAAACGTCACTGAAATACTGTTTTATGCATTCCAAAAAAAAGGTTTTAATAAATCTGCAGAAGGGGTAAAAATATATTTATTTATATTCCAGGCACAGTCAAGGAGAGAATGAGGTGAGGAGGATCGCCGCTGTGTCGGCTGATGGAATGACTCTCACCCTGACCGAACCGCTGAACTACACTCACCTCGGGGTGTCCGTGACGCTGCCTGATGGTACAGTGTTTGAGGGCAGAGCTGAGGTGGGGCTCCTCACCAGGAACATCGTCGTGCGAGGTTCACAGAATCAAGAATGGAATGACAAGGTTGAAGCCTGCCCGGGCGGCTTCAACACAGGTACTTAGTGATAATGGTGGATGAGGATTTTCTTCAGACACATCAGATGGTTTTTTTTGTTATTGTCAGCCTTAAAGTAAAATATTTTTCTGTATATAGCTTGAACCCTCCTCTGCTGTATCTGCATACTAATTCTGAGACAAGAGCAACACTGTATTTAATACATTTTTGCACTTCTGTTTCCTTCAGGTGAGTTTACCACCCAGACATGTTTCCAAGGACGATTTGGAGAGGAGGCCGGCAGCGATCAGTTTGGAGGTTGCATCATGTTCCACGCCCCCAGACCAAACGAGAATCTTGCGATTGGCCGATTGGAATATGTTGAGGTAAAATGTATTTTCATTCTCTAAACATTTCTATACTATAGTATCTTTTAAAATTATTATTAGTGTGTTAAAAGTTTGAAGTCTTTGTGCTGTTGTTCTGCAGGTTTTTCACGCCGGACAGGCCTTCAGGTTGGGACGTTATCCCATCCACTGGCATCTGATGGGAGACATCAATTACAAGTCGTACGTGAGGGGCTGTGCGATTCATCAGACCTTCAACAGGGCCGTAACAATCCACAACACCCACCGGCTTCTGGTGGAGCACAATGTGATCTACAACATCATGGGTGGGGCTTTCTTCATTGAGGACGGCATTGAGACGCAGAACATCCTTCAGTACAACTTGGCTGTGTTTGTTAAACAAAGCACCAGCCTGCTAAATGATGACGTCACTCCCGCCGGCTACTGGGTCACAAATCCCAATAACATCATTCGCCACAACGCCGCTGCAGGGGGAACGCATTTTGGCTTCTGGTACCGCATGCATGACCGCCCTGATGGCCCTTCCTACAACCCAAACATCTGCCAGAAGAGAGTTCCCCTTGGTGAGTTTTATAACAACACTGTGCACTCTCAGGGCTGGTTTGGACTGTGGATCTTCCAAGACTTTTTCCCCATGAAGAACGGAGGGTGCCAGTCCTCGATCCCCGAGCCCGCTGTCTTCCGTTCTCTCACCACCTGGAACTGCGAAAAGGGTGCTGAGTGGGTCAATGTAGGCGCCGTGCAGTTCAACAACTTTCTCATGGTCAACAATGAGAAAGCAGGCATCGAAGCCAAGCGTATCGTTCAATGGGCTGTGAAGGGCTTTGGAGAAGACGGCGGGGCGACGGTGTCCAATAGCACCTTAGTGGGTCACGTGGACGAGCTCGGACTAGGCAGCGACTTCTGCACGCACCGCGGCGTCATCCTGCCTTTCGACGACGGCATGAGCGTCATTAACAGCAAGTTCATCAACTTCAACCGCAGCTCCTGCGCAACCATCGGGGTAACCTCGATCGACGGGGTGTGTGTGGAGCTCTGTGGTGGCTGGGCTGCCAGGTTCAGTGGCATCCAGTACATGAACTCACCCAACAAGGCCGGCTTCAGGTGGGAGCATGAAGTGCAGCTGGTGGACACTGATGGCTCCCTCACAGGTAATCTTTAGTGATTTTATTTTCTCACCATTTTCTCTCTTATATGTGTATAAAGGTTCAGTTTGTTATGTAAAAGTAATGCAAGCCGTCCAAGAATCATGTTGAATTAATCTTTTCAGAAATTCTATTTATTCAAACATTCTGCTACTTTTTCATTATGCATTAAATAATCAGCCAAAGCTAAGTAGTGTACTTGTTTAAGGAAATTTTAAGCATCACCTTAATGCTTAATACACTTCTGCTCCTCTATTAGGAATGTTTTGTAGCAAGACTCTTTCTGATTGTTTTAAAGTAAACGTAAATGTGTATGTTCTTCACATGTTTTGGCTCTTCAGTCGGTTTTCTGCTTATTTTCAGGAAACATAAATCATGTAGTTGTGCCTATGAGCGACCTGCTGGATCCTGCTCACTGCTCCCAGAGTGCCGAGTGGAGCGTGGGTTTCCCCGCCGCTGTGTGCGACGAAACTGTTAACTTCCACCGTCTGGCGTTTAACAACCCCTCCCCAAGCTCTCTGGTGGCCAAGAACGTCATTCTAACCAACTCACATGGTATAAAAAAACTGTATTCGCTACTTTCAGATCTCATATAGTTGTAGAAGAAGCTGTAATTTGTTTTTGTTTTCTTACCTGTGTTGACATCTACTGGTGTTTAGAAGGAACTGCAGTAGAGATTTTACAACAACTGAAAATGCCATCAGGAACAGACTGCAGAGAATAATATTTTATCTTTATAGGAAATGTTAGATAATTATTGTGCATTAATAAATGCAAACCTCCTAACATGTAAACAAACATATAAATATGTGTGCTCTGTCTCTTAAATTAAACTCAGGGAGCTCCAGGGTCCCCTTTTTGAAGAAGAGACTAACTCATCCATTTGGATGGATGGCCTTGCTGCCCTCTGGACAGACGTACAACTGGTATTTTGAAAATGTGGATCACGTGACCAACATCACTTACAGCGGAAAATTCTACAGCTTTAAGGTAATCACGTCAAAGAACACGTGAGTAAAGTATGTTAAATACGATATAGGGCTTCGCAAACACTGATGTTTGTCGCACGTTTCTTTGCATGCAGCGGGATCAGTATGTCATCGTCAACCACAACTTCACGCAGAGTCCAGACAGTTTCCAGATCATCGACACGAGAAACGGCTCATTGACGCCACTGAGCTTCAGCAACAACAGGAACGGAGATTGGTACTTCAATAAAAGCTCCAACAACCTCTACTACATCGGTTAGACGCACCTTAATATGGATATATTGTACTATTTGATTTATCCTGTATTATTTTATTAAAGGAAAAGATCTTATGCATTTCCTATATATAATGTTACTATAATGTGTAAATACTACAATGTAAAAATGCCCAAAGTGTCTCGAGACACTCACTTTCTGATGATTCTCTACCCTTGGCTCTTTATGATGTCAAAGAGAGCAGATGTCATTAATGTGGTAATCTCAGGTGCGCAGCTCTAGATGTGCCCGAAACTCCTGATGTGCCCAGTTGATGAAATCACAAGAAAGCGGTCCTTAAGTTGACAGAGGCGTTAGATAAAACGAGATTATACAAAGTGGATTTTCCTAACTCTCGCTCAGTCTTATATGTTAAAAAGCTTTTTCATTACGCTGCTAGAATAGGAGCAGAATGTTTTTAAAGAGAGAAAATTGCGTTTTTAATGAAATTGTTGCATTTGTTAAATAGGTTGTACAGCATGCAGTATGTTTGCTGTGATAAAATATAAATAAGCGTTAAACTCAGGGAGGCCTGCTTTATTATCATCCTTCTTTTTATCAACTTTGCTGTTTTTATACGTCTTAAGTTCATTGGGTGCTTGTTACTCTTGCTTGAATAAAGCATTCAGTAACACTGTTCTGTTCTCTTTGCAGTGTCTGGGAAGACAAGCCAGCGCAGGCGGAGGTCCAGCGTTGACCGATCTATGATTGACGTTCAGACAAACTTTGCGGTCTTCCGCTGTTTCTACCCCAACTGCATCCCTCCAACACCACCGCCTCCAGCCACTCTCGCGCCATTACCTAGCCGCCGACCTGGTAACTTCATGTAAGTTGTTTATTATCTTTCTATCAGACGTTTTATGCATTTAACTTTTTCTGGTGTGGCCTTGGTGTATCATCAAAATGTCTGTTTTTCTGTAGCCGATGGTCCAATGCTTCTTTCTGGAAAGGCTCGGCAGAAAACAACTTCACCGAGCCAACAGAGGGTGGCGACGTGGTCATCCCATCAGGTAAGAAGCTTAAAACTAGAGGTTTTTTTCGCAACATTTGAACACAAAAAGATTTTTGTTTTTTAGGAGCAAGTTTAAAAATTAATTGTCAAAAAAGTTAATTTCTGAAAATAAAACATCTATTATAAGTATATTGTGACTAAAAATGCCTCTTTATCCTTGCTAAACCACAGGGCAGTGGGTCGTTTTGGACACCGACACTCCTCTTCTCAACAAGCTCACAGTTATCGGAGTCCTTGAGATCCCCGACACCATGAACAGCTCATCTACCAGACAGGCCCGGTCTGTACCCGCGTACAACACTGTGGCTATAGATGCTGTCTACATCTCCATCCAGGTCAGTGTGATCAGTAATCTCTCCAAGATCCTCATCCAGAATATCACTTTAACATAAATTTATCAGCATTTATCTCCAGCATATATTTCATTATGACAGCAGCTCTGAGTGTGTATTTGCCTACTACATAACATGATAATGTGGAAGTCACAGGTACTGTTTGACTGAGCACGATGAGTTAGGTGATGTTAACATCTGTGACTCTTTCAGGGCGGCCGACTGATTGCGGGATGGAACGACGAGCCGTTCAGAGGTCAGCTGTACATCAAGCTGAGAGGGAACCACCGCACTCCGGACTGGCCTCTGCCAAACGGACCCAACCAGGGATCCAAAGTCTTGGGTAAGAAAACTGCTACCGACTCGTGTACTTGCCTAACCTTTTTTTCGACTGTAGTAAAAAATTGCCAAGTTTCCGTGTATGTACTGCAAAGATAGCTCCAACTGAAGAGACTGGTAACGTTTCTAAAAGCCTGTAAGTGCAACAAGACGAACCTTGCAGTTACATGATAAACATCACATAACTAAAAGCTAATATAACTGAAAAAGCTAAGGAAGCAATCGATGCACTGCTTTTACCACATGGCTTTAAATCTGTGTGACATTCTCAGTCCATCATTCCCAACAGTATTCAGATTTATCTTGCATGAGCCATAAAGCAAATGTGCCCTTTTTACTGTCCATACTCCTGCTCAGATCCTTATTATTTGTGATGCATAATTCAAAAACCAGGCTAAAGTACAAAATGAACATTTTTTTGTTGTTGTTGTTGTTTCCTAAAATCTCAGAACTTTTAACTTAACCCTTCCATACATGAATTTTGACAACCTCAATCAGGATTTTTTTCTTAAATATTTTTATTTATCTTTAGGCATGACAAAAAGGTGTTTGAACTTCATTTTTTAAAACATGTACTTTTCAAAGAGTTTTTTACATGGCCAAGTAGGTGGACAACATACGTTTAGACTTATGAATGGAGTATCGACTGACACGTCAGTGTCCAATGTAGTGGTTTATGTGCAAGTATACCATCAACACTGACACAAATACAAGAAAACAGTCTTTGAATAGCTGTAGTGACCACTGTGCCTGAAAGGCTTAATATGCAGTATTCAAAATGTAAATTTATGTCTTTGTTCATTTTCCATGAATTTTAAATTCGATAATAATCAATAGTGACAGTTATTCTAATTTTATTTAAATGAATAATTCAATTTAACATAAAAAATTTATCATCTAAAACAGGCGTGTTCGGCACACTGGAGCTCTACGGACTTCCTCGCAATGTTTACCGCACCAAACTCGCCGCTACTGCTAACGCTGGATCCAACACACTGACCCTGTCGCAGTCGGTCGACTGGCAGGTCTGTATAGTTTCCTCTAGAATGTGTTATTCCATTTTTTTATACTACGTACTGCATTCACGTGTTGGGTGTTGAAAGCTGATTGTATAACATCCAACTAAAGTCCTGAATTTTTATTCCTTGAGCAGCAAAATCAATTTATTCTCCTTCTACCAGATTGTCGAGTACCTTTACTCTAATTACTTCTCATTGGAAGTGTTCACTTTTTGACACGCCTGCTTCAGGTTGGAGACGAGGTTGTAATCTCCACCAGCAGCTACACCACATGGGAGACGGAAAAACGTCAGATCGCTGCCGTGTCAGCGGATGGCTTCGTCCTGACCCTGAACCAGCCTTTGACCCACACTCATATTGGTGAGTCGTAGCTCAGGACTTGGAGTTATTGTTCTGGTGTTTCTTTTACATCAGCTGAAAGGATTTGTTCGGTCTGGTTATATGAGTCTCAATAAAAAGCCTTTATGTGTATGTGTTGAAGCTGTAAGAATTTAACTTTAAGGTGTATTAATGAGGGGAAAAAAACATTATAAGCAAACCTGTAATATAGATCCGCTGGCTGCCTTCTTACTACTAAGGAACCACCTCAGTTATTAACTGATGTTTCCAAAGCAACACGCCATCAAACACTGAAATGTCTGCGTCATCTTCTGTCCACAGGTGGGACTGACTCTGTGTCAGGTACGACTTTCTCCTACACTCTGGCAGCTGATGTTGGTCTCCTGACCAGAAACATCAAGATCATCGGTCAGGATTATCCAACTATGATGCAAGACTCGTTTGGAGCCAGGCTGCTCGTCGGCACCTACTCCTGGGAGGGAATCAACTATAAAGGTAAAAAAAAGACATCGCCCTGAAGACGTGGATGCTGTGGTGGAGAAGGGGTTGAAACAGCAGTCAGTGATGGAGTGTAGTAGTGACACTGACAGAGGGAGGGAGGGGAAATGTTTCAGTATAAACAGACTGAATGGATATCAGTCGTGAGGATGACTCTCAGACTTTCTGTCATCATAATTTGCAATTTTGTTCTGAAGGCAAAGCTCAGATCAGGAACGTGGAGTTCTACCACTCTGGCCAGGAAGGCTGGACTGACTACAGCGACCCACGCTACTCTGTGGCCTTCCTCAATCTGGGAGAGGTGCAGCCCACACGCACGCACACACAGCATCTTTCCCAGCAACTGCCTGATCATAGAGGAGGATTAACAACTGCAAATATGATTTTTTATATCTTGTAGCAGAAGTTTATTTAAACAAAACTGCTGCTTTTGTTGTTTAATGTGAAGAAAGTGTCTGTTAAATCTGTTGGGGGTTTTTTTTCTGTGGTGAAAGGTGACAGAAAAAGAGTCATACATTCAGGGCTGCGCTTTCCACGACGGCTTCTCTCCGGCAGTCGGCGTTTTTGGAACAGACGGCCTTAATGTTGATGATAACATCATCCACCACACTGTCGGAGAAGGTAAACACTGTGCTGTCTGTGGCTCTGTTTTTGTATCTCATGAAGGCAAAATGGTTATAAATTTGATTTAAATTTCTCTTCTTCTGTGTTTCTTTTTGTGTTTTCAGGCATCAGAATTTGGGGAAATAAGGTGAAACTGAGGAGGAACTTGGTGATGATGACACTGTGGCCTGGATCGTACCAAGGCAGAGAGGAGCCTTTCAACTTTGACTGGAATGCTGCCATTGAGGTTTGTTTTCTAGGAATATCCAAGGAATAGGAATATATATCAACCACTTAAACGTAAGTAATGTTTGTTTATAATAATCATCTGGTCTCTTCTTTTTTTAAAAAAAACGTATTTCAGGTTAGCGAGGGGACAAACATCATGCTGCAGCACAACATTGTGGCGGGTTATGAGAGAGTGGCGTATCGCATTGATGGCGAACCATGCCCAGGTGACATAGATGACTTTAATCAACAGTGACAGGCTTTATGTCTGGTGCTGGTGCAAATTTCTTCCTCTTTCAGAACAGTAAATTACAGAACTTCTTCTTGTGCAGGTTATATAAATGATAATGAGGCTTGGATTCATAACGAGGCTCACGGCGGTCTGTTCGGGGTCTATCTGAACAATGACGGTTTGCCTGGTTGCGCCCACATCCAGGGTTTCTTTGTCTGGAGGAGCTTTGACTACGGCATCTACTTCCAGGTATTAAAAACCAAGTCTCTGCTTCCTACACTTGAATAATCAGCCAGGTTCACCCAAAACAGGGCAAATAACCTGAGGGTAACAAAAGGAAAGAAAAAATCTGGGCATTTAATGAGAAGAAAAACAGGAAAAACAGGCTATGTTGGATCATGCACGTACATTTGGTCATATTTTACTGCATCAAATAGCTTTTTGCCATAATTTTCACAACGTTCCAGTTGCCTTTCCAGAAAGCAGCTTTAGCATTAGAAGTATAAGCTGACAAAAGCCTGTTTGAGGAATTTGTTCAAGCAATATGTAACAAACTTAATATGTGTTCACTTTAAAAGGGTCCATGCTTTGTCTGAAAATAAAGATATAGTAGATACAATGATACCCTTTCCTCTTCCTCTCCCTGTCACAGACCATCATGAATGTCACGGTTTCCAACGTGACCCTGGTGGACAACGGCATGGGAATCATGCCTATGATCTATGGTCCCCCTTCTCTCTCCCATGAATTTGCCAATAAAACAGTGCTAATTCAGGTGAGATGCTTTATTTTGATTAACTGATTGTTGTTCTTCTGTGGGAGCTTTGTCTTTGCCAAAGGATTTAACTCAAATCCCTGTTCCCCCAGAATTCCTTAATTGTTGGCAGCAGCCCGAGCTTCAACTGCTCAGACACTTTGCCAAACATCGACTTTAATTTGGCCACCACTTCAGGCCATCGGGCTCCCAGACCTATCCAAGGTAGAGTTAAACTGAAACTCTTAGATATAGATTTTGTCAATTTAAGAATAAAAAAGTAAAACCTGAACAACGTATACATGCAAATGCTAACAAACCTCTTTAACTGATGTTTCTGTTTTCATTGTGTACAGGTGGCAGATCTGGAATCTGCTGGCCAAATTTCCAGTCTGCCCACAACAGTGCACCAGCTAAGGCTCATCATGTAAACATGAACTACAACTCTATTAAAGGGCTGATGACAGTCAAAGGTTGGTTCAGCCTCTGAGATTTGGAATCAAACTGACTTTTTAAAATGATGCTTGGGAGCTTTTTCCCAGTAAACATGCTTCTAACTCCTGATTACACTGGCTTTCTTTGTAGACACAACATTTGTCAACTTCAGAAATGTCTGCTCTTCTGAGGCAAACGTCATGTTCATCACAAACCCACTGAATGAAGACCTGCAGCACCCTGTGCAGATTTCAGGCATTCAGATGATCAACAGCACAGACGAGGCCAAAGTGTTTATCCACAGACCTGATTTGGGGTAGGTCACTCCATGCTAACAGATGTCCGGTGCTAAGGCTTTGATTAGAAATCTGTTTATAACAGAAACCTAAAAAAATAAAAGGCAATAACTTGTAAAAATGTGTTTTTCACATGGTGAAGACATGACATGTTTTGTAAGTCAGCTGGCAAAAATGAACCTTTTATTCAACAAAGTAATCTTCACAAACTGACACCGCTTGTATGGTTTTCAAAGTGTAGAAGTGAAGTGCTAATGTTAAACAAAACTACAATCACATGACTGGGACATCACCACCAATAACCTCCACTCTTTGACATAATGATGCCGATTTTCGGCAACAACTTGTGTGAAAATGCGTGAAAAGCTTTGACCTTTTAAGCTGGGTATTTGTTGATGTATTTTATGGAAAATGTGGTATTCAACTATGCACAAAAAAAGGTCAACTTGGCGGCACAGGAATCGTGATTGTGATGCCAACTTAACCTTGTGCACTCTACAGGCATCTTACATTTTATTTGCTGCTGCTTCAATTTAGAATTTAAGCTGTAAAACCTTTTTAAATGCTTTTTTTCTTTTTTTTATTCAAGCTTTTGATCAAGTAAAATCTAATGTTTTTGTGCCCCAGTAAAGTAAACCCTGCTGACTGTGTGGACATGGACTGTGACGCGAAGAAGAAGAGCTTGTTGAATGACTTGGATGGGTCGTTCCTAGGGGCAGTGGGCGCTGTGGTGCCACAATCCCAGTATGAGTGGGGAGGAGATCCCAGGAGGGGGCTGGGCGACTATCGCATCCCCAAAGTCATGCTGACAGCCCTCAATGGCAGCCGAATCCCGGTGAACCAGATTGCTCCAAACAAAGGTAACTAGAGCTTGGTGGAAGAGATACAATAGTGTGTCTGGTAAATGTTTATTATTTCCGTTGATTTACAATAATCAGGCTCTATTTCTTTAAGTTCAAGTTACTGAACTCAGTTTAAAATGATATCTTATCAGTTAATGAATACATTTTTCCAGCCAGATACCTTAGTGTCTGATATTTCCTGTCTTATTTCTTACATTGGTTTATTGCTTAATGGGTAAATTTAGTGTTCTGTGGTGGTCATGAGTTTTACTGGAAAGTGTTATATATCTAGTTAAAAATCTGTGCGTAGGTGTGATCAGGAGAACATGCACCTACATGAGTTCCTGGCAGAGCTACAAGTGCTTCGGCCTGAACTACAGGATGTTGGTGATTGAAAGTCTCGACGCTGACACGGAGACCAGACGTCTGTCCCCCGTCGCTGTGGTTGGAGACGGCTACGTGGATCTGATCAACGGTAGGATAAGGAAACGTTTTCCATCATATGCTTAAGATCTTGGGTGTTGACGGTCTGTTCAAAAACAGCAGAATGACTTTAAAACTCTGTTTTGTGTGTTTGTGTCCAGGTCCTCAGGATCACGGTTGGTGTTCTGGCTACACCTGCCAGAGGAGACTTTCCCTCTTCCACAGTATCGTAGCCACTGGTCACTCCTTTGACGTCTACTTCACGAGCGTCAGCCCGCAAAAGCTTCGCCTCATGATGCTCAACTCTAATCCATCTGAGGTCAGGCCACATTTTCAAAAATGCTGTTCTGAATGTATTAATTCTTTTTAAGGAGTAAAACTTTTAAAAGGCACTCCTGAGATAAATCATTAAAAAAAATGCCCACAAATACAAACCAGATGTCTAAGTCTTCAGATCAATCTACATTCAGTAACTAAGTGTCTTTTTGTTGTTACATTTGTGCAGAGCATCGTGGTGTCAGTGTTTTATTCCAACCCTCAGCGTCTGGATGTGTATGTCAATAATCAACTGATCGCTCCCACTAATGCTGAGTGGAATGCTGATAACACTAACTACATCTTGAAGAAACCGATCCTTGCAGGTACTAATTGTTTACACAAAGATATCATGTGCCGACTAGCATCACAGCTGATCAAAAGGACTCAAATGCTGGACTCACAAAGCAACCTTTACTAAGCAGAAGATAAAAGTCCAACAAATTCCAAAACATAAATTAACAGTGGAATCTAAAGGTATCAACAAAGGCAAACACAAAATGCAAGACACAGGAGAAAAATGATTACCAAAATAAAACAGAAAATTGTGTGACAGCGGAGCACAGGACACAAATGTGGAGACTTCACAACATACAAGGAACACGGGGGAGGGAGGATGGAAGTAAATATAAGGTGCACACAAGCTAAAACTAGACTTGAAAAAGTAGCAATAACTAAAACTGAGAATATATTTGTTAAAAAAGCGACCAGGATATACCTGCTTCATAAAAGAATAAAGAAAATAACTATAAGACAGGAACCAAAATAAAAGTGAAAATGAAAACAATGAAACCCATCTGACCCAAATATTAATGCAAAAAAACAACAACAACAAAAAAACAAGCAAATGAAAAAACAAAAAAAACAAACTATGATCCCAAACCCTGATCAAGGTTTGACTTGGTAACTAAAGTAACTAAATAGCTTGATTCTCTACAACAAAGAAGTAACGTGAGTATTCTAACATGTTTTCCCCAACAATGTCCAGCGGAGAGAAAAGTACATCAGGTTCATCAACCGACTCTAAGACGTCTTTCAGAATCTAGTGGACGCCAGCCATTTTTATAAAAGATGGCGGGCTAATGTCACGTAGCCCTTTATGTTTGTTCTGTTAAATGTGTTTTTCCACCCTTTTATGCTTTAGATGAATACATATTTTTTTACCTTTTGTCTTAGTTTAAAGTATCTGCATTCTTAATTTCTCGTCTTGTGCAAATAATCACCACAAATATTAATCAAATCAACAGGAAATGTTACAAGGACCTGTCTTTGTCATGTATGAATTATATCTGAAGATGATGATCTAAGATTTTCTGTGTTTAATCACTCCAGGTCAGTACGTCCCCGAGCTAAATGCCACTGTGGGCACCAACTACTTTGACCAGGACTATAAGATGCTGAAGGTCGTGCTGAGAGGCTCTCAACCAGTGGAGATCCGTACTGCCCCGGTTCTCGTCATCGCCTTTGGGTTCCCCGCAATGACCGAGGAGGAGTTCTATGGCAACAGCCTGGTCCAGAACCTCGCCGTGTTCCTCAAAGTTCCTCCCAACATGATCCGCATCTCCAAGATCATCAGGGAGAACGGAGGCGCGCGTCGCAGGAAGAGATCCACGGGCCTGACGGTGGAGGTGGAGATCAAAAAGCCTCCTGTCCAGCAAACCACAAACAGCACCAACGGTTAGGAAGAAGGAAAGGTGTCACTTTATTGCTCATTAGGGTCTAATCTGTCCAGTTAATCATCATCTTTGCTGCCTGTGTATTCTCAGATGACGAGGACTTTACACTGCTGAAGAACATCGCTGATGAACTGGGTCAGGCAGCAGTGACCGGAAACCTCAGTCAGTCCATCGGTTTTAACGTCTCCTCCATTGGCATGGTCCCACCTCCTCCTCCATCCTCTGACCCCAGCTGGAATGAGGTGAAGCAGAATAACATCTGCTCTGTAGACACTATAACAGCTGTTTTGATATTAAGATGATAAAAATACATTACGTGTGTGATGAAATGTCTCATATTTACATGGTGATTTCCTCCTTTTAACCTCAGGTGGCGACAGAGGAAGTAACGAGAGAGGAACCTACCGTGAATTACGTGTCCGGCGTGGACCGCCTGCTGCTGATCGAGGAGCCGATAGCCGGGGAGTTTGTGGGTCCTCTTTACCAGCAGCCCAGTCTGATGGCTGTGGATGCAGAGGTGAGGCAACTCGAGATGTTTTACTGCACAGCCAGTGTTAAAGCTGATGTTTTGGGAAGGATGTGAGGTTGTTTTATCTAATTTTTGTATTATTAGATGATCTTTCATTTCAAACAGTTCACCCCCTTCTACCTTTTATTTAATTCATTCAGTACTAACTCATTCATTACTAACTCAGTGACCCAATCCACATAAACACTGCATATTTCTCACACCTTGCCTGGATCAGGGTTGGATTATTTTATATTTAGGATTGTTTTAGTAGACTAGACTTAGCTATCATTCACTGTAAATGTGGAGTGGACTCGAATGAATTATTAGAGTAAAAATAAGGAACATTTTTGGGACATTTATGCGTGAAAATCAACAATTTTACCTAAGTGGATAATCTGGACTTTCTTTGATGGCAGTCATTATTTATAAATTTCACCAGACAGTGAGCACAACGGTCTATGCAAACGCCGATGTGCCTGCATGTTTTTATGACCACACTGCCTTGTTTGGGGGAAGTTTACGTCACGGTGCACTAGCTACCCCTGCACCCCAGGTGGCACATTTCCAGCAGACTTTGAATAAGTTGAATACGTATAACAGGAATGACCCTCTTAGCCATTGGGTCTCGAGCTGTTTGTGTCCACAGTGGAATATAATCAAGGATTAAGTCTGTTTTCTATATTCGTCCCTTGTGTGTGTGTGTGTGTCCATTCACACTGACCTTTGTTAATGTCTGCAGGGAAACTGCGTCTCCGTGGGAGTGACGACTCTCATGGTTACAGCCAGCCTGAAGGACTCTGATGGAAACAGCGTTGGTGGGCTTGAAGGAAACACAACCATCCTGTTCAGAACCTGCTGGGCCAACTTCAGCGACCTGTCCATTGTTAACAGCGGTGCGTTCACACATCCTCACCTGAACCTAAATAACATTTGAAAACTGGCAGATTGAAAACAGCTGGTGCAGTTCATCCAGAGCATGATAAAAAAAATTGCAAAACCAATATGTGCATAAAATAAATATCAAGCATTATTTATGAAAGCAGAAACTGATCCTATTAGGCGTATAAGTATCTGTTCTTCATCTGCAGGTGAGAACCTGACAATGGTCTTCACTTTGAAGGACTGGGGCACCACATCCAGAGCCTTCTCCATTAAGAACACTCCCACCACTCAGATCCCGACGACCAGCAGCAACATTACAGAGCCGACACCTACCACGACCACTGGTCAGGTCACCGACGACAGCATCTTCGGCTCTGGCACCACTGCTTCTGCTGGCGCTCTGTGCCTGGCTAGCGTTATCTACACCGTGGCCTGCTGCTCCGATGCTGTCCCCATAGGTTAGAAGAGCTCAGCCCGCTTTATGAAGGATAATGTAAAGTCACGTTAACATGAAGGACGAAAACTAACCTCTTGTTCAAAGTTTATTGTGAGTGGTATATTTTTCCATTGCTTATAGCCTTCAGATCAATATCCATTAGAACAAAAATCTTCTCAGGTAAAAGGGATTTATGAAGAATACAACAACAAATAATCATTTTTACTATTTCAAGAGGTAAAAGTAAAGCTTTTCTTGAATGATTTTGTGCATTAGATGTTAATTTCTGTTAGTTTTTGGGTTCTTTCATTGTATTTTGTGTAAGATTTAATATGGGTGTGAGGTCCAAATAGATTACCTCTACTTTTAAAAAGTGCAGCAGTGAAATTGAAACTGCAAACAGCTGAAGGAAAACAAGAAATTTTGCAACAGTTTTCTGCATGTTAATGATTGTTTGAAACTACACTTTCTTTTCAATAAATTGTGTTTTTTATCTTTAAGTGAATCTTTACTGTGTCACTGTCTCTTGACTTGTTTTTTTCTCATGTTTTTGGGGCTTTAAAAAACAAAGCTCGTTGGTCTGCCCTGGCAGCAAAGTGGATAGAGGCTTTTCATTGTTAAAAGAATAAAATACCAAAACATAATATTAAAAGCCCAGACCGCAGCGCTGTAGGCAACATACTGAAACGGAGCCTATATCTACTCAAAGAGAATGTGATTGGAGGGGAAAGAAAGGTATATGGAGTCCAAATTTTCATGAACATTGGCTTTTGCCACGACTCTTTACATGGAGCGTTACAAGCAGCACCTTTGGGAAATCAACAGATCCAAAAACAAATACAAAATCAAATCACTTGGAAATTGTTTTGGATTATTGATTATTCATTATTTTAACTGCTTCAGTAAACATGAAACCATAGTGAAGCCCAAGATTTAGCAGTGAGGTAATGGAGCTGAGATTTGCGCCATGGATACAATGTAAACAAATTATAAGGACAAAAGCGTTGGGCCACGCCTCTTGATCTTCGAATTCAGGTGTTTTCAGCCCCACGGGTGTCTACAAATGTTTTTACTGAGGATGTAACTTTAAATATTCCCACCATTAAGAACATTTTAGAAGGGGCTGTAATAAATAATTTTAATGTCCCAAAATTAATTTTAAAAAATGAAATAAAGAAATAATGAACAGCATCGTGACGCCTTTTTTTCATACCATGCAGAAAAGTGTAGTATAGTTACGCAGTTATGTCTTTCTTTCTAGAGTCTATTCTAGTCATGAATCTCAAATATGAGGATATCTGAATAATGTGTGGATTATAATAATTATTTCTATCTGCTGAGCACAGACTCTGTCCACGGTGCTGAAGGACGTTGCCTCTGTGCGCCTTTCGTCTTTCGCATCAAAGCAGTATCTCTTTGCTTCACTAGAGGGCATTACACTCCACAATAAACACTAAAGAAATAATGCACCGAGGCAACGTTACAGGACTCGTTCTGCAGAGAAACTTCCAAAACTCAGGCTTAAAACTGAAAATCAAATCAATTCCGATTCCATTTAAGCAGGTTTGGTGAGAGCGAGAAAAGTCAGCGCAGTTTCATGCACCATAGTCTTTTGAGCGCACATCTGTCTTTCCGTGAGGAGGGTGGGGGGTGTCAGAGGAACAATTATCTTTACAGCCTAATTTGCCCTCTCCTTTAAGCCTTTAGAACAATGTAGGCGTGTCCTCGTCTCCTGTGTTTTTTAAACTGCGCGCCGCCTGTCCCTCTGAGCTGTGCGCACTTTGCGGAGCAGCCACTTGCTGCACACAGGAGCGGATGCAGAGTCCAGCTCTGGTCCACCCCGGCCACAGCTCAGGCTCCGACTCAGACTCAGGACGAGCGCAGAGGATGGATTTCTATCACTTCTCTTTTCTTTGCGGGGCTCTTGTGTTCGTGTGGGGCATGCCCTGTTTCCAGACTCTCGTTATTTTCCCTCCAGCTGCGCCGAAAAGCAGCAAAGCGGCGAAGATTTTTAATTCACAAGAAGCGTCTAAATATTTTAAGGAGTTTTACGCTCGACCCTCACAGGACAGATACAACAAAGCAGCACCTAAAGACTTAATTGAGCCGCATGACTACATGTTGTCTATTTACAAGACATTCTCCACGGCGGAGAAGCTGGGTCTCAATGCCAGCTTTTTCCGTTCTTCAAAAGCTGCAAACACTATTGCAAGTTTTGTGGACAGCGGACAAGGTATGTGGAGCTCTGCCGCGTGTGTGAGTGTGTGCATGTAGGTAGTATTGCTGGTTCACCTGTGACTCATACTCTGTCTCCCAGTTTAATTCAGTGCAGACTGCATTTGGGATATTTATCTGTCAGATTCCACATCTTTGTGGTATGTAGATCATCTCAGTGAGAAGGCATCTGACCCTGCTGTTTTAATGCTTTCCACAGATGACCTCCCACTCTCCCCTCTGAGGAGACAACAGTATCTGTTCGATGTCTCAACCCTCTCAGAAAAAGCGGAGGTGCTGGGAGCCGAGCTCAGGATTTACACCAAAGCGTCTGGGAATTTCAGGATATCGGAAACAGAGCCTGTCGACATCCAGCTCCTCTCCTGCCACGACCAGCAGCTGCTCGACTCCAAAACACTGGACCTGCAGGGTTCCCACAGGCCGAGGTGGGAGGTGCTGGACGTGTGGGAGATATTCAAGGAGCGACAACACCTGAGCCAGGGGAAGCACTTCTGCCTGGAGCTCAGGGCCGTGCTGGACAATCCTGAGAGGGAGCTGGATCTGCATCTTCTGGGACTGCACCGACATGGGAGGCCTCAGCAGAAGAAGGCCATCTTAGTGGTCTTCACCAGGTCAATGAAGAAGCAGACACTCTTCAGCGAGAGGAGGGAGGGGAGAGCCTTACAGGGCCTCGAGAAAAGCCCCAAAGAGAGGGGCCCTGGCACTAAAGCCAGCAGGAGACGCAGGACTGCTGCATCCAAAACCCGCCATGGGAAGCGACATGGCAGGAAGTCAAAATCCAGGTGCAGCAAGAAACCCCTGCATGTGAACTTCAGAGATCTGGGCTGGGACGACTGGATCATCGCCCCGCTGGACTATGAGGCGTACCACTGCGAGGGGGTGTGCGACTTCCCCCTGCGCTCCCACCTGGAGCCTACCAACCACGCCATTATCCAGACTCTGATGAATTCAATGAACCCTAGCAACATGCCTCCAAGCTGCTGCGCCCCATCCAAACTCAGCCCCATCAGCATCCTCTACATCGACTCAGGAAACAATGTGGTGTACAAGCAGTACGAGGATATGGTGGTGGAGTCTTGTGGTTGCAGGTAGTACGCCCAGCAGGGGTCGTGGCTTACCTTGACCTCCTGGGAATTGAACTGCATCGCAGTCAACGTGGAGGAAAGCCTGTATCTGAAACAAAGAGAACTTTAGCAAGATGGAGACATCAACTATAGTTGAAAAGCAGTTTTCTTTCAATTATGCATCCAACACAGTCATCTTGATACCTCAAACATCTCTTTCTGTCCATCTCCTCACCCTTTTTTTTTTAAAGAAAATCAATCTAGTCACTTGAAACTCTGCAATTACCACAGATTTGTGGACAAATAAATATGCATCTCATTGCCAAATTAATAAAATACTAAATGCAAAAAGTTGAGCATGTTCTTGCAAAGATTTTGATGAAAAGGATGATTTCATATCTGTATGCTAAACCCTGCAGCTTGGTCGTGTCCTAAAGAAATAAAATTTATGCAAACAACCACACAAAGGTAGTCCAGATAAATAAATCCACCCTGCAATAAATGTGGATGTAAATGTATTCAGAAAAGGCATAAATATGTTATCTTTACAAAAACAGGTTCTGGTAATACAAGCTAAGTATACGCAAAGTGGACGTTATGTGGCTGTCTGTTCACAACCATTTAATAACCAAATGTGTTGTCATAGTTAGTCAAACACAGCAAAGAAGCAGAAGCCACCACCATGTGTAAATATCAGTGTATTTGCTGATGGTCTATTACCTGTAACAAGACTGATACAGGTGATGATTCAGACATGCAAACTTTCCACTTTATGATGAGCTCAGCTCCTTCTGGAAGTTAGAAGCGTGAGAATGGTTTCCATACACAAATCCAGGAATCTTCAACAAAGAATAAACCTTCAGTTAATATACTGAACCTTTCAAAAGATCAAAAGATTGGATAAAATTAAATGTGTAATTTGTATAACTTTTAGACTCTTTATATAAAACTTAAAGGATTTCGAAAGGAAACTATATTAGCAATGAATCACCCACAACAATAAAACCATCTGCCAAACTTGGACACAGCTCTAACCCATGAGGGCATGGAGACAGGATGTCTGGTACCAGAGACCTGGTTCTAAAACATTTTAAAGAAGTCAAAAAACAGCTTTTAAGCGATTATTAACAATGAAATAAATATCTACTTTGAGTTTATTAAGCAGAGGTGTATGTCATCAGTGTGGTAACTTCATTCTTAGTTTGTTTCATATCTATAACATCCACTTTGCTCAGACACAGTGGCAGTGGCTCTTTTGAGCTCTGTTCTTTAAATGTGATGCTTGGATTAGAATGGGAGTGGGGAGTCTGGAGGTTAAGTCAATGATCTGAGCTCCTTATCATATTCTTAGGTAGTTGCTTCGGTGTAGATGGGCATATTGTGCCCACTGCCATCGAGGAGTCTACCTGTTATCTTACTTGTCTAATGAACATCCACATGAAAGCCAGAATCTTAGGTTTCCCAGCAGATCGCTGCATTGTATATGGTTTATGTTATTCCCATCAGCTGTCAGTGGTTTTATTGTTTTGGCACAATTTTTCTCTGGTCATTTTCAAAAGAAGGCCTTGGAGTAAAAAAAAACAAACTATCCAGATCTCTTCGTCTGTTAGCTCAGTGGTTTATATGATATGTAATAACTTTACATCCAGTTTCACTAGAACAATAAAACGTGTCCAGTTAGTTAATATAGAATTTTTGTTGACTGAACAAACTGACTGATTCCGCTCTTTCCAGCTGTTTCTTCTGTAAACCAAATCATTAACTTCAGGTAAACATGTTCCGCATAATGGAAGTTTTGATTTTTATCCCTGCCAGGATTAAAATAGCAGATTTTCAGCACCTGACATGGCCTATGACTCAGGGAACGTCTTCCGATCGACCAACGTTCACATCTTTTCATCAAAACCATCGTGGGGTTTCGCACCGCTTTATGTTTAAGATGATTATATAGATGCAATAACTTTGTCTGTAATGCACTGATGGTCAAAGGTGCCATGTGTAAATATTTGGTATGGAAATAATAATTTAAGTCATGTGAGTAAGTTATTGCATTTACTTTGTCCGCTTTGTTCTGTTACAACTTCCAGACGGCGCGAGTCACACATCTGGAGGTTCAGGCTCAAATAAACACACATGGGTAATGTTTTTGTAAAGAAATGTGACAGATTGTGAAATATCAGATTTCTATCAGTGTTT